CTCAGAAGACCAGCCGAGATTTTTGTAGGCTCACCATGGGGACTGGCCTCGCCGCTCTGTGCCGGGTGTCTGGGACAGCTGCCACTTCTCGCCTGGTTTTCAATCCAGCATCTTTATGCTTCCCCTTGATGGGCCCTGGGAGGAGACAATAGCCGGGCTGTTGCCTTTCTCATGCAAATGTGCCTGTGCCGAGAGCACTGCTCGAAGGCTCCCCCAGCTCAGCCTCCCGGCGGGGTGGGCGAGGGCAGGGCTGGGGGCACCGGCTGCGCCCCAGCAGCGAGTTTCGGTGCTGCTGCACTCTCTCCAGGAGCAGCTGGGTGGGTTCCCTGCCCAGCACGTCTGCGAATTGCACAGAGGTTTCCTTTTCAGTCTTAAAGGTGTGATATAAATAAAATATTTTTATTAACGCCTTCATCATCATCTGCCCTGGCAGAGAAACGACTAATCATGAAAGCTGGTGCATTCTCTGGCACCTCATGGAGTATGAACGAGGTCTGGAGCACTCACGGGGGAAGCACGCGGAGACTGAACCTGAGCGTCCTGCTCCGGCACCAGGCTTCTGCTGCGGCCGTGCAGGGGAGTCGCTGCGTAGGGTGGCAGGGGGTCTCAGAGCCGTGCCTCTGCGTGCAGGGTCCTTGCCTCTAGCCAGCAGCCAGTCGGAGAAGTTTCTCTAACGCAAAAGGCCACTTGGAACTGCGAATTCAGCTCCAGCAAGGACTGCTTAACCTCAGGAAATGCTGAGCACGTGTGCTGGTACACAGCAGCTCCGAAGGGTTCGAGCCCCTCTCTTGGAAAGCACTGGAGGGCCACGTGGCTGGTGAAGCTCAGTAAAGAGTGGTTTGGACCCATGGCAGCGGAGGGGGTCGTATCCTCATATCTGATGCTGGCTGAGAGATGGTACAGGCTTCTTGCCATGTATAGGGAGAGAATGCACAGACAGCTGCACCTTGGTCCTGCTTTGACAGCTTTGTCCTCTGGACAAAGGCTTGGCTGAACTGGTGGCAGGATTTGTCTAGCAAAGATGACATCCTCTGTAGTCTCCAAAGGCTGCTGCTCCTGCTGTGCAAGGAGGCAACCCAAAGCTCTTTGGGCTTGTGGATGCAGCACTCCAGAAAGCTGGGATGAATTTCTGCTTCATTCTGTGAAGGATGTTTTTTGGCTGTCCCTGCAGAAAGCAGCACGCAGTGCAGTGCTGTTGGCTCAGTGGGGAGAGTTTACAGCGAGTCCTCCGAGACAAGTGCAATACTGAAAAATGCAAGTCTTGGCAGTGCTCATTCTCTGTTTCAAGCCAGAGCTGGCTGGGGTTGTGGGAGCCCCTTGCAGAGCATCTCATGGCTCTGCGTGCACATTTGCCTTCCTGGTTTGTAATGGGCTATTGTTAGATGGAGGGTGCCCATGGGAGGAGGCTGATCAGCTCTCAGAACAGCTAATAAGGATCAAATAAGCATTAACACTGTGTTGGTATAGATGAAACGGCACATTTCAGTCCCCTGCCTGAGAGTGGCATCTCTGAGTCACAGTGCCAGGCTGCCAGCTGATAAGAAAGAGCAGCTACTTATGGCTGTATCCACCTCTGAATTTCAGACAACAACCATCTGGATATTTTTTTTTTGAGCTGGTTTTTGGCTTGCTCCAATTTTCTGTCTTTAATCACAAACAGATACGCATAGGTCTTGTTTCTTGCAAACCTTGGTGCCAAATGGGAGACTGACTCATGTAATAAAGGAAGGCTGGATACACACAAGCCTTGTGTTCAGAAGTGCCACACTATGGGCCTTGCTGGAGTATCTGAAAGGTGCCGACTGCTCAGAATCAATAAAACAGAAGACCTGGAGTCGAGGGAACTGAGATTTATGTGTTGTGGGTTTTGTTTTTGTTTGTTTTTAAATTGCTGTACTCAGTGAAAAAGTAATAGGTGCAAAAATTAGAAGAATTTCCTGATTCAGTAGAAGCATCTCCAAAGAAAGCCAAGAAAAAAAAAAGGAAATCCAAAGATGACCCAAGGCTGGAGCACAGCAGCTCTTCTTCTTGGTGGGGCAGCACTGGCAGTTGGTCTCCATCAGTCTCCTGGTGTGGGGCAGTGGACTCTGCAGCCATGGCCATGTGTGCTGGCTGATACCTCCTGCCAGAGCAGCTGGTGCCAGGAGTGGCTCCCATGCTTTGGAGATGGAGCAGAAAGTTAATGAATACAAAGGCAACTTTGATCTCATGAAGAAAATGAGGTCCTTGACCTAGTATGTCCCTTCCCTCAGTGCCTCCGGCCAGCACAGGGGTCTTTCCTGCTGTGGTCCCAGGTGGTGAGAGCACAATTCCTTGCACTTGGGTGGGGACAATGGTGGTTCTGTGGGATCACGGAGCGGCTGTGCTCCGCCAGGCTTTGGCACTGCAGGCTCTCTGCCGAGGAGCTGGCTGGCTGCTGAGGGGAGCAGCAGGTTGCTATGATACAGTTTGCTGTGGCAGTGTCTGTGCTGAATGGAGCCAAAACCACCTCTACAAAAGGAGCATTCCTGGACTGGGAGGGGGCAGATTTAGCTGCAGTGTTTATGTAAAGCTGAGGACCTGCAGGGAGAGGATGTATGTGGGAACGCTTTCCTCTGGCAGTGCTGGGGGCCCCTGTCTGGAGGCAGATACCCTTACGTGCCTGGGAGAGAGGGCACAGCTTGGATAAAGGACCCAGCAAATCCAGGCATGCAGATGAGTGCTGGATCTTGCATCCCATCTGGTAAACCCAGACCAGGCAGGAGGCTGCAAACTCAGTTCAAAGGGGAGCTCAGTGCTGCCTTTGAAACTGGCCTCATCCTTGGTGGGAACTGGATCACCTTGCTCTGCTGCAGGAGCATGGGATGGAGCGGTGCACCGG